CATATAAAGTTAGTGATCATTTTTTCCATATCCCTAAAGAATGTTGATGGGATCTGGATTGGGATTGCATTGAATGTATAGATTGCTTTGCTTTAGTACCATCAGTTCTTGATCATATCCTACCTTGCAAAATGGCTGAATATCAACTAATTCTTTTTGGTACAATGACTCTGTATATTCCTTCCATCTTCTTTGCATTCTTCCTGCATCATTCTATGTTTTGCCCATAGAATCTTTCAATATTGCAATGTAAAGCTTAAATTTTTTCTTTAGTTCTTTCAGCTCAAGAAATGCTGAGTGTGTTCTTTCCTTTTGTTTTTCTAAATCCAGGTCTTTGCACATCTCATTATAATACTTTACTTTGCCTCCTCAAGTTCCCTTTGAAATCTTCTGGTCAGCTCTTTTATTTCATCATTTTTTCCATTTGCTTTAGCTATGCTCCATTCAAAAGCATGTTTCAAAGGTTTTTTTCTGACATCCATTTTGGTCTTTTCTTCCTTTCCTGTCTTTTTAATGACCTTTTGCTTTCTTCATATATGGTGTTCTTGATGTCATCCCACAACTCATCTGGTCTTTGGTCACTGTTATTCAATGTATCAAATCTGTTCTTCAGATAGTCTCTAAATTCAGGTGGGATATAATCAAGGTCATATTTTGGCTCTTGTGGACTTGTTTTAATTTTCTTCAGCTTCAATTTGACCTTACATATGAGCAATTGATGCTTTGTTCCACAGTCAGCTCCTGGCCTAATTCTGATTGTTGATATTGAGCTTTTCCATCACCTCTTTCAGTTGATTTAATTCCTGTGTATTCCATCTGGTGAGGTCCATATGTATAGTCACCATTTACATTGTTCAGAAAAGGTATTTGCAATGAATAAGTCATACAAATGGATACAGCACTGGAGGCACTCACTCATTTATGCTAAGAAATTTGGAAGACAGCTACCTGGCCAACTGACTGGAAGAGATTTATATTTGTGTCCATTCTAAAGAAAATGCACCATGGAAGAAAGGTGATCTAACAGGATATGGATTATTGAACAAGTCACATGCAAGTAAAATTTTGCTGAAGATAATTAAAAACAATTGCAGCAGTATATTGACAGGGAACTTCCAGAAATTCAAGCCAGATTCAGAAGAGAGCGTGGAACAAGGGATATCATTGCTGATGTCAAACAGCCCTTGGCTGAAAGCAATGAATACCAGAAAGGTGTTTACCTGTATTTATTTGACTATGGAAAGGCATTTGACTGTGTGGATTATAACAAATTATGGGTAACTGCAAAGAATGGGAATTTCAGAACATGTAATTGTGCTCATGAGGAAACTATAGAAAAGAACCTGCTAAGAGGCCGTAGTCATTCAAGCAGACCAAGGAGATACTGAATGGTTTCATTTTTAAAATTTTTATCTTTTTAAAATTTATTATTATTTTTGCAGTGTTCCCTCTGAAAGGAAACTTCCTTATTGATTACCAGGGATGGGAGGGGAGGGGAGGAAACACTGCTAGATAGGTAGAGACAATTATTTATTTGGGTGAAGGGAGATACTGAATGGTTTAAAATCAGGAAAGGTATGCATCTGTGTTGTATTCTTTTACCATACTTATTCAGTCTCTATGCTGAGCAAATAATCCAAGAAGTTGGACTACATGAGAAATGCAGCATCAGGATTGGAGGAAGACTCATTAAACAACCTGCAAATATGCAGATGATTAAACTTTGCTTGCTGAAAGTGAGGAGGTCTAGAAGCACTTACTGATGAAGAGCAAAGACTATAACCTTCAGTATGGAATATATGACAACATAAACAAAAATCCTCACAACTGGACCTATAAGCAACATCATGATAAATGGAAAAAAGAGTGAAATTGTCAGGCATTTCATTTTACTTGGGTCCACAATCAACACTCATGGAAACAGTAGTCAAGAAATCAGCTGTCGTATTGCACTGGGCAAATCTGCTGCAAAAGACCCATTTAAAGTGTTAAAGAGCAAAGATGTCACTTTGAAGACTATGCTGCATCTCACCCAAGCCATGGTATTTTCAATCACTGCATATACATGTGAAAGCTGGGCAATGACTAAGGAAGACTGAAGAAGAACTGATGCATTTGAATTGTGGTGTTGATGAAGAATACTGGACTGCCAGAACAATGAACAAATCTGTCTTGGAGTAAGTACAGCTGGAATGCTCTGCAGAAGAGTGGGTAGACTTCATTTCTCATACTTTGGTCATGTTATCAGGAGGGACCGGTCCCTGGAGAAGGATCACGCTTGGTGAAGTAGAGAGTCAGCAGAAAAGGGGAAGACTTTCATTGAGATGGATTGACACAGTGGCTGCAATGTTGGGCTCATGCATAGCAAAACTTGTGAGGATGGCACAGGACCAGGCACTGTTTTGTTCTATTGTACATAGGGTCAATATGAGTTGGAGCCAACTCAATCGCACCTAACACCAACAATGACCCCCTTATTGTATATTGCTTTTCCCTCCACCCAAGTTAACATGTGCCTACCCTTTAGTTTGTGTTTGACCATCCCTTCCCCTCTCATCCCTAGTCACCTCCAAAGAATGATTCTTTCTGTGTGTAAACCTTTTCTTAACTTTTTACAGTGGTCTCATACAATAATTGTCCTTTTGTGATTGACTGATTCCACCCAGCATAATGTCCTCTAGGTTCATCCATGTTACAAGGTGTTTCGCAGATTCATTGTTATTCTTTAACATTGTGTGGTATTCTATTGTATGTATGTACCATAGTTTGTTTATACTTTCATCTGTTGATGGGCACTTAGTTGTTTCCATCTTTTTGTGATTATGAATAATGCTGTAATGAACATGGGTGTATATATATCTTTCGCATCACAGCTCTTATTTCTCTGGGATATATACCTAGTAGTGGAATTGGTGGATCATAAGGTATTTCTACTCCAACTTTTTAAGGAAGAGCCATACTGTTTTCCATGGTGCTTACACCATTTATAGTCCCACCAGCAGTGTGGGACTGACTGTACATGCATATGTCCTCTCCAGCATTTGTTGTTTTCTTTCTTTTTTTGAACTTGCTATTAACGCTGGGGTAAGATATCTGGAATTCTTAAAGAAATGTTTAGAAAGTTAGATTCTGTTCTGGTTGAAGAAATTAAAGAGAGTAATGGGCTCATTGGGGGAGGAATTCTCTGACTTCAAGCTGACATTTTAATAAGCTCTGCAGGCCCAAAATGGCTAGTTGTAAATACTGTGCTTTCACTACTAAGAACCGGCCATTAAATGAAGTCAGGAAGAAAACCATCCAGCTGGATTTAACACTGGCTTTTCACTGACACTTCTTCTTGGGAGCAAGCAGAGCCCTGGAGTTGGACGGCCTTGGTTTTTAAAAATTCTGGCTCTGAAAACAAACCAGTGCTTGCTAAGGACAGGGTTGGGAGAGGGGTATCTACAAAGGGGTAGCATGGGGTAATTTTGGGAGTGATGAAACTGTTGTGTTCATGACTGTGGTGGTGTTCAACTTATGTATTCGTCAGGATTCATAGAACCACAAAGAATAAATTTTACTCTATGTAAATTTAAAATCAGTGTGTGGAGGGATGGATCCTGGCTCTGCCCCTTCCTGGTTGTGTGACTTGGGCCACTCACTCATGCTCTTTGAGTCTGTTTTCTCAGTTGAAACATGAGGTTTTTAATAGTACTTCAAGGAGCCCTGGTGACACAATGGGTAAGTACTTGGCTGCTAACTGAAAGGCTGGTAGTTTGAACCCACCCAGGGAGAAAGACGTACCAGTCTGCTTCTGTAAAGACTATACCTCACTGTTGTCGAGTCCATTCGACTCAGCAAACCCTTCTTAGGTTTACAAGGCAGTATCTCTACAGAAGTAAATTGCCCAATCTTCCTCCCGAGGAGTGGCTGTTGGGTTTGAACTGCCAGCCTTATGGTTAGCAGTCAAATGCCTTACGCACTAACTCTGTGGAGCAGTTCTACTCTGCCACATAAGGTTGCTGTCAGTTGGAATCAACTTGCTTCACACAATAGTACTTCAGGGGCTGGTGTGGTGTGAGGACTAAAGGAACCATACTCAGTCAATGCTAATTGTTACTATTATTATGCTTTCTCCTCATCCCTCATCCCCCGTTTTGTCTGAAGCCACTCCCTTGCAGTGGTGGTTCTCAATAATCGCTGCACATTTATGCTTCCTAAATGTGCATTTCTTAATGCTTACTAAATGTACATTTATTTAAACTATCCTTGCCTGGATTTCCTCAAGAGATCCTAATTTAATTGATCTGGGATGAGGCCTCGTCCTGCATAGTTTTAAAAAGCTCAGAGGTGGTTCTGGTGAGCAGCCAGTCAAGAACCATGAACTCCAAGGACTGTCAGACTCCACTTCTGAATCCTCACTTGGGCCCTGATCCAGCCCATCTAGGGCTTCCCCCCCCCTCCCCCCAGGCTCAGATGAGGTTATCCAGGGGCCAGGACATTATGTTTTTGGCTCTTTTACTGTTCTCTCTCTTTTTGGGGGGTGGAATGGGTGTGGAATGGGGGATGGAGGGGAGGAATCATCTCAAGCTTACATAAAATTTGCAAGAATAAAGAACACCTGCATACCCAAACACTATGTAAATGTCATTGGGTCTCTGATTCTAGTTTTTTTTTTTTCCTTCTTCTTCACTATTTATCTGTTCAAATCCAGCTACTTTGAATGGTGAAAAATATTTATATTTAGCATGGATCTACTTCTGAGATTGGTTTAAATTTTGCCAGTGGGGAACAAGGTGTCCTTCCTGAATTTATCTGTCATCTCTGCCCCTCCTTGGACCGGAGCAAGGAGTTTGGGTGGCTTTTTCACTGTCAGTGCGCTGCCCTGACCTTAGCTGGGTGCGGGTAGGCATGGGGTTCCAGCAGGGTGCACCCACCATACAGACATTCCTCCTTCCTCTCCATGCCCCCCGGCCCCTTCATTTGGCCTGGACTTGTTCTGTGCCTGCCTCTCTGACCCTGAGGAAGTCAGTCAGACCTGCCCTCGGGGAGGAAAATCCCAGAGCAGGAATGGGGAGCTGGGTCCACCTTACCATGACGGGGAAGATGATGGCGGCCACGGTGGACTTGAGGATCCAGAGCACCGCCAGGCAGAGGATCTGCACCAGGGTGAAGAGGTGAATGCGGCGTAGGGGCACGTGCCGCAGGAAGGCGTGGTCCGGCTGGTGCTTGGCGGGCATCAGGAAGAGCTTGCAGCGGTCCCAAAACTGGGAGGAAAGCACGGGCTCAGACAGGTAGTGGGGCCTTGGTGGGCCTGCTGGGAACTAGGGCTGAGGGAAGGGGGCTGCCATAGGATCCCACAGAGGGGGCCTTAGTCAGGCCTTAAGGGGCTGGAGGCCTCTAGGAGGATGTAGAGTGTGGTGTCAGGGTGGGCCCTGAACCCTGGATGCAAGGTACAGCCCTGGAACTGACTGCAAACGAACACTGTCTTCATTCATGGAAAATGCAACTTAATTGCAATACAAATTATTCAAGACATCCAAAAGTGTCATTGTAAATAAAAAAAAAAAATGTGTTCTCTGTGGGAGTCACCTTAGGGAAGATAAGAGAAGAGGTATAGTGAAATGCTCATTCTGGGATTTGAATCCTGAGCCTGTTTCCTCATCTGAAAAATGGGGATCAGAGGATCTCTAGGGAAATTATGTAGATCAAATTATATAACGTCTAGAAGGCAACTACTGTTAGTGTCGGATTACCCAATAAGCAAGTAAGCATGAGCTTACTTGTGCTTATTTACCAATTTGTATTGAACCATTTCACATCAAAGATTTTGCTTTTAGGTATGGCTGGCGTCTCTCTCCCAACCCCACAGCACCTTTCTACAGAATCAAACCCCTTTTCAAATTTACAAGCCCTGACAAGGACAGAGTACCCAGTAAGCAGGGTAAGTACAGTTTACTTGTACTTACTAATCTGAACAGTTTCACGTTTTTCACCACATCTTTGAAACCATGTGAAATTGTTCACTACAGATTAGTAAGTAAACACAAGTAAGCCCGTGCTCACCTTATTGGGCAATCCATCTTGCTTACTGTAGTTATTTTTCACATAGTAAATGGCAGTGTTATTATTACTATTATTCTTTCATTGACCTGGTAAAGTGAGCATTTGGGGTCTTGGTGACCTTGAACCAGACATGGAAAGCTGACTACCAATTTAGATCAGGCTGGGGAGGGGAGAGCTTACCTGGATGCCATTCAGGGAGGCCACGCCCATGTAGAGGAAGACTCCATAAAGTACCGGCATGGGGATGTACTGAAACGAGAGGCAGGGAAGCAGAGCCTTGGACTGGCTGTCATATTCTGGCTGACTGTGTCTGTCAAGCCACAGAGACAGCCTGGCCTGCCCTGCGTGGAGAAGGAGCTGTATATTTGGAGGTATTGAGCGTCCAAGAGAAGATCTACAGCCAGAGTATTGGTGGGGTGGGACATAAGGGTCGCTGGGGCTATACTGAGGAGCCGTGGTAGCGTAGTGCCTAAGGCACTTGACTGCTAACCAGAAGGCTGGTGGTTCAAACCCACCAGCAACTCCTGGGAAAGAAGGTTGGGCAATCTTCTTCTGTAGTGATATCACCTCGGAAACCCAAGGAGAGGTCGCTATGAGTCAGATCCAACTCCATGGCAGTGAGTTTGGTTTGTTTTTTTAGGGGCTATACTGCTCCCTTTTCTAGCTGAAAGGAGCTCTGGTAGTGCTATGGTTAGAGTTTTAGGCTGTTAATCAAAAGATTGGCTGTTTGAACCCACCAGCTGTTCCACGAGAGAAAGATGAGATCATAGGTTTCCATAGTGATTTACAGGCTTCAAAACCCTGTGGGCTATAGCATTGTTGAAATTGACTCAATGACAGTGGTTTTAGGTTTTGGGTTGCTAGTGCAGAGTGTAGCTGTTTTCCTTGCTGCCCTTTCCTTTGGCTTTGTGAATGTCATGTGGTCTGACCAAAGACACAACTTCTGGAAAATGAGAAAGTACCACAGACATCTTCCCCTCCCCATTATTCCTGTCAGCCGCTTCCCACTTTCAGTCCCAGCCAAGGTCCCCCTCCTGAAGCTGTGCTGCTCAGAGTGGAGGCTTACAGGGGGCTTGGGACCCTTAGTGAGCTAATCTACATTAGCAGGGAGTACCAAAGAACCAAAACCAAAAACTTGTTGCCATTGAATTGATTTCAACTCATAATGGCCCTATAGGAGCTCTGGTAGCATAGTGCCTAAGGCACTTGACTGCTAACTAGAAGGCTGGTGGACAGCCACTCCTCAGAAGGAAGGTTGGGCAATCTACTTCTGTAGTGATACCATCTTGGAAACCCAAGGAGGGGTAGCTATGAATCGGGTCTGACTCAACAGCACATAACAACAACAGTGATAACATGGCCCTATAGGACAGAGTGGAATTGTCCCATAGGATTGCCAAGGCTGTAATCTTTATGGAAGCAGATTGCCACATCTTTCTTCTACAGAACAACTGGTATGTTCAAACTGCCAACCTTTCCATTAGTAGCTGAGTACTTAACCACTGCACCACCAGGGCTCTGAGTAGCAAAAATACTTAACAAAATCATCCATCATACCTTGTTGCCATCAAGTCAACTTTGACTCATGTCAAACTCATGTGTGTTAGAGTAGAGCTGTGCTCTTTAGGGTTTTTGTTGTTAGGTCCCGTCAAGTTGATTTTGAGTCATAGTGACCCTATGGGACAGTAGAACTGCCCCATGGGATTTTCTTGGCTGTAATCTTTACAGGAGCAGATTGCCAGGTCTTTTTTCCCATGGATCTCCTGAGTGGGTTTAAACCGCCAACGTTTTGGTTACCTGCCAGATGATTAACCATTGTGCCACCAGGGCTCCTCGCTCAACTTTTAGATGCAATTTAAGAATGTTAATAAGTCCAACTAAACAAATAACCTCTCTTTTTAAGTAATTTAAACTGTGTTCACTTTTTAACATAAAGTGATTTGGACCTATAAGTTGTAAACTCATTCTAAGACATTTGAACTAAAAGTAAAGAAAGTAAATAGGGGGTCATTGCACCGCTCTGTTTGTATATACCTTATAAGATTTTTGCCTACTTATGAAACAAGGTAAAAAGTTCAAAGAACAACATTGTCCGAATCCCCCTGAAAGTGTGAGAGCAGTTGAGGGAGAAATAAAGACTTAAATACAAAAATCAACTGTATTTTGTAATAACACAAATTTAAGATGGCCTAAAAACTTCCCTTTTGCCCTAGTGAGTATGAAAGCCACATCAGACAGGAGAACTAGGCCAAGTTTTAGGTAGTTTATAGTTTGTTGTTGTTGTTAAATGCTGTTGAGTCAGTTCTGATTCATAGGGACCCTGTGCACAACAGAACAAAACACTTGCTTGGTTCTGCGCCATCCTCACAATTGTCACTATGTTTGAGTCCGTTGTTGCAGCCACTACTCCAGTCCTTCTTGTTGAGGGTCTTCCTCTTTTTCATTGACCTCTACTTCACCAAGCATGATGTCGTTCTTCAGGGATTGGCCCCTCCTGATGACATGTCTGATATATGTGAGATGAAGTCCCGCCATCCTTGCTTCTAAGGAGTATTCTGGCTGTACTTGTTCCAAGCAGATTTGTTTGTTCTTCTGGTGGGCCATGGAATATTAAAGACTCTTTGCCAATCCCATAATTCAAATGCACTGATTCTTCTTTGGTCTTCGTTACTCATCATCCAACTTTCACATACATATGAAGTAATTGAAAATACATGGTTTTGGGCAGGCACACCTTAGTCCTCAAAGTAATATCTTTGCTTTTTAACACTTTAAAGAGACCTTTTGCAGCAGATTTGCCCAATGCAATATGTCATTTGACTTCTTGACTGCTGCCTCCATGGGCATTGACTGTGGATCTAAGTAAAATGAAATCCTTAACATCAATATTTTCTCTATTTGTCATGATATTGCTTACTGGTGCAGTTGTGAGGATTTTTGTTTTCTTTATGTTGACGTATAGGAGCTCTGATGGTGTAGTGGGTAAGGCATTTGGCTGCTCACCCAAAGGTTAGTGGTTCAAACCTACCAGCTACTCTTCAGGAGAAAGATGAGGCAGTCTGCTTCTGCAAAGATTTATAGCCTTGGAAACTCAATGGAGGTTGCAATGAGTCAGAATCGACTCAATGGCAGTGAGTTGGGTTTTTGTTTGGTTTTATGCTTACATATAATCCGTACTAAAGGCTGTAATCTTTGACCTTCATTGGCAAGTGCTTAAAGTCCTTTTCACTTTCAGCAAGCAAGGTTGTATTATCTGCTAATCGTGGGTTGATAGTAATTCTTCCTCCGATCCTGATGCCACATTCCTCTTCATATAGTCCAGCTTTTCAGATTATTTGCTCAACATTTGGACTGATTAAGTATGGTAAAAAAAAAAAAGTACAACCCTGATGCACACCTTTTCTCATTTTAAACCATGCAGTGTCCCCTTTTCCTATTTGAACGACTGCCTCTTGGTTTATGTACAAGTTCCACATGAGCACAATCGAGTCTTCTGGAATTCCAATTCTTCAAATGTTGTCCATAATTTATTATGATCCACACAGTTGAATGCCTTTGCATAGTCAACAAAACACAGGTAAACATTTTTCTGCAATTCTCTACTTTCACACAAGATCCATCTGACATCAACAATGATATCCCTTGTTCCATGTCCTCTTCTGAATCCAGCTTGAATTTCTGACAGTTCTTTGTCTAAACAACCATTTTTGAATTATCTTCAGCTATATTTAACTTGCTGGTGATATTAATGATATTGTTAATTTTTGCTTTCTGTTGGATCACCTTTCTTTGAAATGGGCACAAATATAGATCTCTTCTAGTCAGTTGGCCCAGTAGTTGTCTTCCAAATTTCTTGACATGGACAAATGAGTGCTTCCAGCATTGCATTCATTTGCTGAAACATCTCAATGGGCATTCCATCAATTTTGGGAGACTTGTTTTTTGCCAATGTCTTCAGTGCAGCTTGGACTTCTTCATTCAGCATCATTAGTCTTGGCCATATGCTGCCTCTAAAATGGCTGAATGTTGACTAATTCTTTTTGGTACAGTGACTCTGTATATTCTTTCCATCTTCTTTGATACTTTTGCATGGCTCAATATTTTGCCTATAAAATCCTTCAGTATTGTGACTTGAGTCTTGAATTTTTTCTTCATTTACTTCAGCTTCTGAAGTGCCAAGCATGTTCTTCCCTTTTAGTTTCCTAACTTCAGGGCTTTTCACATTTCATTATAATACTTTACTTTGTCTTCTTGAGCTGCCCTTTGAAATAGTCTATTCAGCTTTTACTTCATTGTTTCTTCCATTCACTTTAGCTACACTATGTTCAAGAGTAAGCTTCAGAGTCTCTTCTGACATCCATTTTGGTCTTTTCTTTCTTTCCTGTCTTTTTAATGACCTCTTGCTTTCTTCATGTATGATGTCCTTGATGTCACCCCACAACTCATCTGGTTTCGGTCATTAGTGTTCATTGTGTCTATCTATCCCTGAGATGGTCTCTAAATTCAGGTGGGTTATGCTCACAGTTGTACTTTGGTTCCCGTGGACCTGTTTCAATTTTTTTCAGCTTCAGCTTAAACTTGCTTATGAATTATTGATGGTTTGTTCTGCAGTCAGCCCCTGGCATTGTTCTGACTGATGATATTGAGCTTCTCCATTATCTTTTCCCACAAATACAGTTAATTTGATTCCTGTGTATTCCATATAGTGAAGCCCACGTATGTAGTTGCCACTTATAAAAAAGGTATTTACGATGAATAAGTTGTTGATCTTGCAAAATTCTATCAAGTTATCTCCAGCGTGGTTTCTATTACCAACGTGATATTTTCCAACTACTGATGCTTTTTCTTTGTTTCTAACTTTTGCACTCTAATCACCCTTAATTATCAATGCATCTTGATTACACATTTGGTCAATTTCAGACTGTACAAGTTTGTAAAAATCTTCAATTTCTTCTTCGGCATTAGTGGTTCATGTGAAAATTTGAGTAATAGTATATTAACTAGTCTTCCTTATAGGAATATGGATATTTTCTTATCACTGACAGTGCTGTACTTCAAGATAGATCTTGGAGTATTCTTTTTGATGATGAATATGCTGCCTTCCCTGTTCAATTTGTCATTTCCGACAGAGTAGACCATATGATTGTCCAGTTCAAAATGGCAAGTGCCAATCCATTTCAACTCACTAATGCCTACAATATCTATCTTCAAGCATTCTATTTCAATTTTGTCAATTTCCACTTTTCCTA